GCTCCAAAAATAGCCATGATGTCACGACGGGGCTCTCCTATTGGCTGCGGGGGGCGTGTCTCCGAAGGGTGTGTGTGGGGGGGGGGCAGCCCTCCGCGTTGCCTTGGCGACCACACAGAACAGGGATGAGGTAATGCCGCGAGGAGTCTGAGCGCGGTGCATTCTGGGATGACGTTTTGTTTTTGAATATCTGGTTACGCGCTTTGCTTTGAGAGATCCAGCTGCTTCTGTGAAATACATCACGGAATGATGAACAGATATAAATGACAAATAATATACAATAAATACATGAGATAAATACATATCAAAGAAGAAATAATTAAAATATGCCAGCAGAGAATGATGAAAAATAGATCAAATAATTGGTAAAGGAAATGTGGTAAAAATAGTCAAATATAATTGGACATTGTTTTTCTGCAGGATTCTCCTCTATTCTATTATACAGTACCTATTTTATTTATAACGCACCTTTCATCAGAGGGCCTTGTTCTTCCAGTACTCTATTATATTAGACATCATTCTACTGTATTTTATGAATCATTTGATTGAATCTGCAGTTTGTTCTTCTAGATTACAACTGGAGAAACATGTGAGCTCGTATAAACGTTTTTTTAAAAGCAAATATATGTGTGCGGGTTCATGTCAGAACGTCTTCATTTGGTGAAAGGGTCCTTCTTTGTGTCTCCCTCTGGGACGTCCTGTCCTCCCTGGTTGGTGGTCCGGTCTTTATAGCCCACTACCAATTAATGGGGCGTAAATCTGGCTCCTGTGCAGGTCAATATAAACTCAGACATAATGACATGTCCATTAAGTGTGTTATTTACCTAAAGCTAGAGGGCGACGTCTCATATTCACACACACACACACACACACACACACACTCTACCCGTGTCAGGAGTAATTAGTGTAGTGTGCACCGCCGTCCTCTCACCTCTGCTATAACGTCTCACCAGTTCCCCTTTCGTCCTCCTCGCTGTCTGGGTCACCTGCTGCCCCCCCAGCTCCTCCCGCTGCACCTCCACCTCCACCCTGGCGTCTCTAAATCAGCCCAGCGGCGCCGGTGAGGCCTCTCAGGAGGACCAACCGGACCATAAAACACCACCGCGGCAGACGTTTTATGGCTGCTAGTTGGCTTTATGTACTGGTGGACATGTCAAACCATGACCATCAATCTAACTGGACTTAACTGCCCTAACTGGTCCACTAACTTGGTCTAACTGGTCCACTTACCCAGTCTAACTGGTCTAACCGGCCTATAACCCAATCTTTTCCTCTGAATAACAGGTAATGAGACGTACGTCTCTGCTCTGATGACAGGAAGCAGCAGGACGTCCTACTCTGTGGCTTCTAACACAATCAGTGATATTATACTTAAGAAGAAGAAGATTCACCTTTTTGTCAGGTACTGAGACAACAAGATGCTTCTCAGGGTTTAGCCCCCCCACAGTGGGAACAGTGGGCTGCCAGAGAGGCGCCCGGGGAGAAATGAGGGGTTAGGTGTCTTGCTCGTGGACACTTTGGTATAGGACACGGAGCCGCTGGGGTTCAAACCGACAACCCTTCAGTTTCTGGCACACCCTCGTACTCCGTGCGCCACGCTAAATGTCAACAGAAGCTGCATCAGTTTGTCATGTTTCTGATATTTCACCATGTTTCTCATATTTCATGATTCATGATTCAATGTCCAAAGAGGAGGAGAAGGACACTTATTTGGACATTTGGGACCTGCATCTCAACAGCAGTTGTTTCTCACCACAGGAACCAGGAACAGGAAACATTTATTGCCACAATATGTCAGACATACATGGAATATGAGACGCAGACAGTGGACGACAAGACAACACGAGGAATAAAGTGACGTGTGACGTGAGAAAGGAAGGCGGGATGTCAGAGTCAGTCAGTGGGGGTCCGGCTCTGGTGAGGAGGTCCTGATGGACCTCAGCCTCCTGCCAGATGGAAGGGGCACAAACAGGTTTGGTCCGGGGTGAGAGGGGTCGGCCACCATCTTTTGGTCGGGTTGGATGGGGGAGGGTGGGGCTCTGTTCCTCCTGAAGTCCACAACCATCTCCACTGTCTTTAGAGCGTTGAGCTCCAGGTTGTTCTGACTGCACCACGACACCAGATGGTCAGACTCCACCTGTAGGCGGACTCGTCCCCACCAGAGATCAGTCCAATGAGGGTGGTGTCATCCGCAAACTTCAGGAGCTTGACGGACTGGTGGCTGGAGGTGCAGCTGTTGGTGTACAGGGAGAAGACAGGGTGTGACCTTTGACCCAGAGCCTGTTGAGAGGTTCTTTACGTTGGACACAAACCGGTCAGACTCGTGCAATAAAAACAGAAAAAGTGCAAAACACGCTTTTACCAAAAATGGAAAAAGAGCGATTGTGTTGTTTCACACGTGATCCTGTTCTTTTGTTCTTGTCTGTCCTTGTCCCCACTTCGTCCTTCACACTCCCTGTGCACACACACACACACACACACACACACATCGCAACACATT